ACTAGTTCCGGTTCACAAGTTCCGCTCTGTGAAACCTGTGAACCTTGTGCTGGAGCAAGCTCGTCTAGCCACCATGGTAAAACCCGTCAACTCTTGTCTTGCTCATGAAAGAGCTCTCTAGATGGGTCGGAGTGCAAAATGCCCCCCATCCGTCGCCGAACTGTGCTGCCATGAACACTTCAAGAACTGAGCTTGGTGGAGAAGTCGCCTTCGATGCGGCTTCTGCCCAACTTTGACAACAAAAGATTTGGACCAGGCTTCTTAATGCGATCACGCAACCGTTGCGAGTGTTTTTAGTATAGGAACAGCCCGAAAATTTTGGGTTTTTCATTTGTCGACCCAGATCGATGTTTCCAATCATTGTCATCGCTGGAGAAGCAAGAACGAGCGGCAGACTAAAAGACGCGCACGGCCTCTGTCCGAAACAGCGCGAACCAACGAGTCTATGAATTTTGAGTCTCGTTTGGGAAGTCATTGAACATCTTATTAGCAGTAGTATTCCAATATAGTGTGGGGTACTGGGGGTGGGGTTATTCGTGCTTGAAGCAGCTCGGATAGTAAGATATATTTAGGTACATGACGAATCGTCGTGGTGGAAGTCCACCCGATGAGAAGGCTCTTGCGACCGCTATGCACCAAAATAAGCCTGGAACGCCTCGACTTTCGGTTCTTGGTTTCGAGGTCTGAAATTTGGGAAGACCTATTCCTATCACATTATCAGAAAGTATTTACTTGGTTGAGATTTCATCTTCAGGGCGCTTTCCATGGACGTTCTCTTTGTATGCTATCCGTCACACGAAGCAAAGCCATACACAAGGTCAGTTTTATCGTGTTCGACCTAATTAAATTCTAATCTATTGCCTATTCGAGGAGTTGAATGTCTATGCTAATCGTCTTATCAAGTATATTGATGAGGTTCTGCGGGGTGATCCTTGCGCCCTTGAAGAAGAAACCAGCCAGCATCTGGAAGCATTTTCCGCCGCGTGCTCTCGACATTCTCCGTTTTAAAACAATAACCAGGCTTTCCCTGTGGTTAGCGAGTGGTTGATAGTGGCTGCATCGAGTGCACACCGAAGCGAAATGAGAAAGAAAAATGATTTGTTGGAGTGATCAACTGTGAACTTTAGTCCCTGTAAAGAACATGCTCTTATTTCGAAGCTTCCTCTGCTAGTAAGGAGTGAACTCCTATTCAATACTTGGATGAA